TTAGATGGCAAGCCAAAATTAAACTGCATTATTAGATGCATGAGCCAATTTGTCATTTTTAAAGGTATTGTTGGCTACGAAAAAGCAACTTAAACTAAATATGGAGTTGCAAGAAATGCTGGTAGAAATAAGGTTATTGCACAACACTTACCCCAACACACCAGGAGGAATAATTATCAGCTTTCTGAACAAGATAATCTTTATTTGTTAGTGGAAAAGAGGCTATTCCAGTTTTAAGTCCCATAATTTAATAAGAATGTTTTGCCTCTCTGCCATTTCAAATTTTGTCTTGAAAAGCTCAGCACTTGTGTTCTGCAGTTTTTTTCTTCTTTATAGTTTTTTATTAATTTATAATATGGCATACAAAGAGATTACTAAAGTAAATATTAGGGAAATTAGAGAAGGAAAAAGGGAAGTGGAAAGCAACAGCAATAGCACTTAGACTTATATACTGCTTTATAATGCTTTACAGCCCTCTCTAAGCTGTTTACCCACCTCAGAAGGATGGAAGGCTGAGTCAATTCTGAGCCTGGTGAGATTTGAACTGCCAAATTCTAGGTAGCCAGCAGTCAGCAGAAGTAGCCTGCGGTACTCCATTTTAATCATTGTGCCACTGTGGCTCATAGTGGGGGAAAGCAAAAGTGGGCAGAAAGGCATTGACTTCGAACTCCTTTGAAGCAATAAAATGAGGCATTAACATCTACCCTCAACTTTTTTTTTTCATAATAATAGAAACTAGCTGTTATGCCCCTGGTGGAGACTGACTCTGAGAAAGATGAGGAACAGCTGACAGGGAGTGAAAGTGTGGCTCTGGAGGAGGCTGGGGAAGGGCAGAGGCCGGCTGAGCAGTCAGAGGAGGACCCAGGCCCATCCCCTACTCACCCTAGGACATGCAGGGAGGAGAGGATAAGGGAGAGACATGGTCTCCTTGGGAGGAGAGGGCCTTGATCCTCTTCATCGGCTGCAGGTGTGACAACTGAATAAGAGTTTGGACCTGCGTACTGGCAAACGCTGGAAACAAATCGTGTAAATATCTCTAGTTTATAGTTCCTCTGTGTGTTTGGTGTCCTTCTCAGTGTGTGTTCTGTTATCTGTGGATGTCCTCCAGCCCTTATCTTGCCTGGTTTGTGTTGCTTTTTTTCCTTCTTCCTGTAACTGTGTGGGAATTTTTTTGTCTTCTGTCAAAGATATTCAGAACTTGGAAGCAAACTGAAGGAATAAAAGGAGCTTCACCTGTTTTCTGTGACTGTGTTTGTTTTGTATCCCACCCTGGGTCATCACACTAGCTATTTCTATAACAACAAATCTATCTAATCCATAAAATCCAAAATCAAAGTTTCATTTTTTTCCACCTCAAGGCAAAGTCCAGAATTGTTTCCAAGTAAAAATAAAGGTATTTGTGTGTGTTTTTTTCTTTAATCAAAACAGTCAATTTAGCCATCTCTGTCAACTCCCATTAGTTTTTACAGCCATTCATCTATTGTGGGAATCGAGGTGACCTTCCATTTCTGTGCATAGAGTAGTCTTGGTGCCGTTAGCATATATAACATCAAAGTTCTGATTTTTTCCCCAAGTCTTGTTTCACTGAGACCAAAAGTCTCCATTTTTCTTTCTATATTCACTTTAATAATTTTCTGTATTAAGATATAAATCCTACTCCAATGTTTCTTCACTTTATCACATGCCCACCATAGATGATAAAAAGTCCCTTCTTTACGTATTCTGCAGTTTTAATCAATATTTTTCATGACAAGACTCTGAAGAAAACCTTGAATGTATCTGACAAATTCCAGGCTTCAGCAGCCCTGCCTGCTATTGGCTTCTTGAAAGACTAGAATATGTTTTTCTGGTTTGGGGGGGTTGGGGGGGGGGGAGAACAACAGCTCACCTACTTCTGCTTTGACCAAGCAGATTTTAGTTTGGTTTTTCCTTCATTGCTTTGAGGTAGAAAGGCCAAATGGTGGGTGCAAGGAGGAGTTCATTATCTTGGAACTAGCTGAAAACTTCCTAAATTTTCACTCATGAATGAATGAATGAAGTCTGAATGAAGTTCAGGGTTTATTGGAGAAACAAACCCAAAATAATACTGTTGAAATACATCTCCTAACCACGTTGTTCTTTGTCCAAAGGTTGTATCCCATAAAAACAGTACAGGGTGATATTTCCAGGTGACAGAGGATGATGCCTCTAGGAATTAAGTTAAAAACTGCTTATTTTTTCCAACCATTTATACCAATCTGAATAAAGTTCAGAGTTTTATTAAAATAAAATTTGGTAACGAATGGTGCAGCAGATGGGAAAAAAGCAGATACAACAAACCCAAAATAATATGAACTATGTCTCCTAACCACATTGCTCTTTGTTCAAGGGTTTGGTTGGTATCCCATTAAAACAATGCAGGGTTATGCTTCTTGGAGACAGAGACAAGCCAAAAATGGGGGGTGGGGATCTTGTTCCCCAAACTAAATTACAGTTATAACTAGCAAAATAATCTGCCAACAGAGTTTAATCTATTCCATTTTAAAAGAGCAGCAGCACAAAACAAGGGAGAATTAGGATCTTGAAGGTTTGGAATAAAAATGATAACCTTATTATTATCTCTTTTGCTTTAAAAGAATAGTTCCCTCTCCTTTAGAGAGGATCTAAAGGTTGAAAGTGGTTGTGTTGACTAATTTTCTTGATTTATTTCATATTCACTATAGATGTGGTTGAAAAATATTCAAGACAATTCCAGTTTGCATTTGTTGAAGTATATAAAGCTTTATTTGCCAAGTCAATAATTCAACTGTGTTTTTCTGTAGGAGGAATGTTTGAATATGTAAGTGGAGCTAACTTCTTTGGGGAGATTATTGAGTGGTGTGGATTTGCTCTTGCATGCAACACAGCAGAAAGTACAGCTTTTGCCATCACTACATTACTGCTATTAGGAAACCGAGCATATTGGCATCACCAGTGAGTTTCCAAAAATCATAATTTCTTTTAAATGTTCATTTGAGTTTATGTGATGATTGTTGCAGATACTTGCTGCCTATCTATCCTGAATTTATGTTTCTTGTAGACATTAGTGGTACATTTATTCTTCAGTTTTTAAAGGAAAAAATAGTTAATGTAAACACTGGGTTCATCTAAGAATGTTGGTTGGTTTTTGAAAAATTGTATTTTTTAATTAAAAGTACTTCTCAATAAAGATCAGTCATATAAAACCAGAATAAATCATCATATAAAACCTGAAACATCACTAGAAGCCAAAATAACAAGACTGATTTACTTTGTTCATGTCATGCATGCAAATTCTCTGGAGAAGTCATTGTTGCTAGGAATTGTTAGTGGATCAAGGCAAAGGAGCAAGCAAAGAACACTCTGGGTTGATACCATCAAAGCTGTTACAAAGATGAACATCCAACTCTGAAAGAAGCTGTGCTTGACAGGGTAGCATGGAAAGCACTTGCCTGTAAAGAGTTGGACACAACCGAAAGGTTAAAACGAATTACCTTAAAAACACTATGTAATTTAGATAGCTCATTTGCAAGAACGTTCATGTTAATACTCCAAAGTGAACCTGCCTGATTGAATAAAACACTTGAATAAAACTTTGAGATACATTGCAAAAAGGCCCACAAGATACCTCTGAGAACAGTGGAACAAAGATGATATCCTGCCCCTTCCATGGGTATTATATGAGGGAAAACCAGTAAACTGTTATCTAGAGAAGGTCCTTAGAAATGATGTTTTATTGATGGATTTGTGTGGCCATACTTTCAAGTAAACAAGCTTGCCAAACAACCAGACTTTTGGTTTTGCTATACATATTTTTAAAATAATTAATATACAGCCATTAACTTCCCTGGTGAATTTGTTAGGTTCTATGCATTTAATGTGGAGGGAATGGAGTTATATAGAAACATATGAAAGAAATGTGAACCAGATTTATAATCTTTTCTGAAATTTTAAAATTTCATAAATATCTATTTTAAATTGATGTTCCAATGTTTCCAATGTTTCTATGTTGGATTATATCCTATAATTTCAGATCTGAGAACTGAGCAAACATTTCCTGATTACCATTAAAAATACTTTTGCAAATCTTTGCAAACATTATATCAAGTGGTGGGATTCATTTTTTTTTTACTACCGGTTCTGTGGGCGTGGCTTGGTGGGCGTGGCAGGGAAAGGATACTGCAAAATCTGCAGTCAGAGGTGGGATTTGCCGGTTCTCTGAACTATTCAAAATTTCTGCTATCTGTTCTCCAGAACTGGTCAGAACCTGTTGAATACCACCTCTGCATTATATGATATACCAGTTATACCATATTTTAAATCAGCTGTTACAATTGCCTGTATTATTTTTCTTCTATTTGATGATTTTAACTGTTTTTATTTATACCTTCTATCTCTTTCCTTTGGTTATAATAGGGATTTATTCATTCACCTTTATTTTTTTTGATGTTTGAACTTTTGAGACCTCTTATAATATTTTCCTGATACAAAATAAGCTTTTTAAATAACACTGGAAAGGTTTTATAAACTTCATAAATAAATCAGAAGAAATACTTTGGATCTTGGCTAAACTAATATCTTTCTGCTGTTCTTTGAAACTGTTATACTGCTTTTTAGCTTTTCATAAGAACTGGAAAAAAATGCACTTGCTTTTAAGAGTTTGATTGATGCTGTGCTTCTTTAAAGCTTCCACTCATTAAACCAGCCACATCCTTTTTTCCAAAAGTCAAAAAGTCAGACTTCTTAAAAAGGATCCTTTTGGTGATTTATACTGGTTTTTATTTGACTGTTAGCTCTTTTAATGCCATATGGGCCAAAAGGAAAGATATAAACAGAAAATCATAATAGTTTGTATTTAAAAAATAACTCATTTTTGTGATTGATAAGAAACATTCTATCATAATGTTACACACATTAATGTGAAAAAATACTTATTTACACTTCTTAAGAATTTGACATGTCTGAGTCAAACCATGTGTTCATTTACCTTTCTTTTCTTTTTCTTCAGATGGTATCTCAACAAGTTTGAAGACTATCCACGTTCCAGAAAAATTCTAATTCCATTTGTGTTCTGAATTCTGTCAGACTCTGTGCTTTGATTGTGTATAATATACTACAATTGCAGGGGGCAGGGGATGTTAGCTAAAACAGGGTTTTTATAGATATTCCTAGGTAAATTCTTCACAATGCTAACATGCTATTGAGTGATGTGATGATTAATTCTCTTTTTTAATTGTCAGGGTAATCATGATTTAATAGCTGAACAACTGCTGTAATACTGTAATGATGCTACAATGATGTAATGCTGGAATGAGGTTTCCTGTCATAACGAATGGCCCTGTTGAGGCATATCTCTTTCTCTGCCTCCATACTATAAATGCTATTTGCCTGTTTGTTCAAGGTCTGACTGAAAGTACTTGTACGTATGTATGTTTTTGTGGATAAAACCATTATGTTATGACTCCCCTTCAAAATTCAAATGAACAAAACAGAAAGCAGCCGTTTCAAATTAAATCAAACAGAAAGAAGTCTTATAAGATAATGGCTGGCAGAAATCTCAATCCACAGCATAAATCTTTACTCCGTCCGGCAAACCAGTCCTGGCAATAAATCTCAAGTCTCAGAGCTTCTTGCTGTAACGTCCTCACCCAATAAGTCACTTTGTTCCTGGCAAATTGTACCAGCCCAGCTGTGTCCTTTTATACTCATTGAGGCAACGTGCTAATTTACTGACTCGCCCTCCTCCTCCGTTCCAGCTGATTTTGCCTTCTCAACCGTCTTCTGTTCCTTACATTTAACCACAAATTTTCCAAGTTCTCATCTCCACTAGAAGACTCTCTCAAAACTTCCCTGTCAGCCATTCCCGGCTGTTGATCAGATAAGGAACCAGAGGAGGTCAAAGGTCCTGACAATTCTAATACATCAGGTCTGTCTTCCTTTGTCACGTCCATCTCCTCATCCTGGTTACCAGTCCAATCACTGAGCCATGCCGGCTCATATTTTTCTGCCATGTCCTCCTCACTTGAACTCATGTCAGACACAGGAGCTGAATCCAAGCCCGGAGCCACAACACCATTATATGTAAATACAAACCTATTTATTGCATTTGCTCCTGGGTTGTCTCATCTAGTCACATTGTGCACACTCTGACAATATTAAAATATAAAGCCAGCAGAAAACTCTGCTATTGATTATTAGTAGTTTGTTCCTGAATTTTGATAAGGAGAGGGAGCTCATGTTGTTATAAACATGAATTTGAAAGCCATTTCTGATATTAGAACATAGATTTTAAGATGGAATGTTCATTGGAGTGGATATTAATATTAAATCTAAATAAAAAAATAGTACCTTGCAAACAGTTAATAAAGCATGTGTATAATACTATGCTTCTTGAGTTTGGTAGCCCACATGGAAAATTCAGCAACACAACCCAGCTTTTACATTTAGCAACATGTAAGCAAATGATCATAGCACAATATTAACTGTAGTGGTCTCTACAATACATATTTTTGCATTTAGGAAAAAAAAAACCTGCATGTTCACTCTAACTGAATTAATATATCTAATCACTTTTACTATTCCATTGGTAAAATGCTATCAAACCAAGTATCACAAAGGGTAACAGTTTGGTTCAGAGATGATACCATGTTCATGTTTAAGGTCAAATTGTTGGAATCAGGTAAAGCTGCAATTATAGGATGGAGATGTTAGAGGAGCATTTCTATAAAGGCTTACTGGGCAAATTGATCATGTATTGATCATAACATCTGAATTTTATAACAGCTCTTCTCTAGCCATGACAATATATTCTACATTATTATATATTTATGACCAGTGTCCCAAAGATGTTTTTTCCAAAAGGCACCTGGACTTTCTTGGAATTCCAAGAAAGTCCAGCTGCTTTTTGGCAAAAGCACCTTTGAGACAACCATGGTGTATGATTGAAAATCTCCATAGACTTTTATGACCAAAATTACAAAATTTTGTCAACCAGGGTCAAAACTAAATCACTTGAAATCACTTTGGTAAACCTAGCAGGTTTACCAAAATAGGAGACAGGTGGAAACGGAGCCTTCCAGCCAGAAGAGAAGAGCATCTAGCCAACTGCATTACTTGGGAGGGGAACAGAGGCACAAACATAAATTTGAATTCAATATGAGTGTAGCTCACATTTAATACAAATCTATCACTGAGATTATTTTATAATGGTGTTACCACTTTTCTACAATAAACCTAGTCATCTGAATTTTTATGTCCTATGAAATCTATTCCTAATTTTTGAGAAGACAGCTGATGCCCAAAAGAACTCTGAGTACCAGTTTGGTGTAGTAGTTAAGGCACCAGGCTAGAAAGCTGTAGATGTGAGTTGTACTCCTGTTTTACGCATAAAGCCAGCTAGGTGACCTTGTGCAAGTCAGGTTTTTTTCAGCCCTGGATGATGACAATGGCAAAGTGTTCAGGGTTTTGCAGTGTTAATTCAGCGCCAGAAAAATAAACACAGATGGCTGATGCTTCATTTAACATCTTTATAAACATAAGTAGATTTTACAAATCAGTAGTAGATTTCTCCAACTGTGATGACCCAGAGTATATCAAAAATATAACAAAATCCAAAACTTAACTAAAAGTCCTTTAATACCTTCAACTTGGCTTCACTGTTTAATTGTTCACAGTGGAGGAGTAAACTATTTTCAGAATAACATTTCAAAGGCAAGAAACACAGTTCAAATTCAAAGAGCCGATAACGAACCAAAAAACAAAAGCAAACCGCATTGAATAAAGTTCCTCAACAGACCAGGATAGATAATTGCCAACTTCAGGAAGATAACCAACCAAGATAAACCCTCTTTAGGAATAAACACTAATTTGTCTCCAGCATCTGTTAGCACGCATGTCCAACCTTTTATGCAGATCTCACACTTGCAACCCATGAAGAGGATCATGGCCCTCTCCTCCTGAGTAGACCACGTTTTACCCTAATCCTCTCCTCCCTGCGTGACCTAGGATGGATGGGGGATGGGCCTGGGTCCTCCTCTGACTGCTCAGACAGGCTCTGCCCTTCCCCAGCCTCCTCCACCATCTCTGGAGCCACACTTCCACTCCCTGTTGGCTGTTCCTCCTCTTCCTCAGAGTCAGTCTCCACCAGGGGCATGACACCAACATGGAGCAAACTCAGACAGAAACATGTTGCAAGTTCAGAGCAGAGCTCCAGTCTTTTAGCAAACAAGTTAGTTTCATCTTCAATAGACAGACTCAGAGCTTAACATAACTGCAGAGCTTAACATAAAGCAGTGCCTAGGCTACTTTTAGTTTCAGTTTCCAGCCTAGGCTACTTCTAGTTTCAGTTTCCAGACTGTCCTCATTGGCCGACTTAGCTGCTATG